AGCTTCATTGCGTGTGTCTGGCCGGGCGAGGGGAGCATTGTGTCTCTGCTCCAGAGAGCAGAGCTGTCAAGTCTGAGCTCACTTCCTCTTCCTCCCAGCATTCTGTTCTGTTTACTCCTCCCATCTATGTTTTAACCTATGAGGGCCAGCCAAGCAGTTTCTTTATTTTTTTTAACCAATGACCTTCCTCCAACAGATATATACATATATATTATATATAGTGTGTTTAGTTAAAGTCAGTTGTTGAATAGATAAAAAAATTTATGCCAAGTTCTTGCTTGTATGTGCTTAACTGCTAAAAATTCATTCACAGGATTATGCGTAAATATAACTTTTTCCCCTGGGAAAATCCAAGACTGAAATTTGAGTCATATGGCAATAATAAAACAATGATAAATTTACTCTTGTAAGAAATTGCCTAATTGCTAAGGAAAAAATAACCCAAATTACATATGGAAAGAAATGTTAAGGTTAGTAAATTGGCAAGATAGGAAATGTCTAGCACAACCGAGACAAAGTCTAAGAAATGAGTCATAAGAATGGCAAATTGTCAAAGTTCCTACTTGTTACGCATTACATTAAAATCAAGTAAATTATCTAGTTAAGAGGGAAAGACTGGAAGAACTTTAAAAAGAAAAGCACAACCACTGCACCTATAGGATAAACTTTAGTTTCAAAGATACAAATATGTTGAAAATGAAAAATGGTATACCACAAAAAAACACAATAGAGCTAGAATATGTTTTGTAACATCACGCAAAGAAGATTTAAAGATCAAATATGGTTACTAGAAATGTATTTTTCAATTTTAATTTTTTTGAGATTATAATATAATTTAATTTCTCTTTTTTCCTTTCTATACTTCAAATCCTCTCATACATCCTTCCACTCTCTCTGTCAAATTCATAGGCTCTTTTTTCACTAGCTCTTATTGCATGCATATATGTACAGATACATTTATTCCTATATAGAGCCTACTTAATCTTATAATATTACTTGTGTGTATGTTTTCAGGACTGACCATTTGGGATTGGATAACCCCTTGGTGTGCTCTTCCCTGGGGAAGACGATTTCTCTTACTTCCAGCATTCTTTAGTTGCTTGTAGTTCTTTGTTTAGGGTTGAGGCCTTTTAGGCTTTTCCTTATCCAGAGGCATGCCTAATGGTGTTATCTTTGTTTAGCTCATGTTCAGGAGAGCCTGTTGGATGGAGAATTATCAAAAAGCAAATAGAAATCTACCAAAGGGCAGCTATATTGCTCCTGATTTCCATAGTTTCTGACCAAGTTTGCAATCTACCAACGAGTGAGGTTTCTCTTTTTCCTACATCCTCTCCAGCATTTGTGGCCAGTTGTTCCACTGATCTTAGCCATTCTGACTCTGGTTAGATGAAATCTCAAAGTTACTTTGACTTGCATTTCCCTAGTTGCAATCCATGATGTGTTTTTTTAAAAAGATATTTCTTAGCCAATTTGTTTTGCTTTGTCTTTTTTTTTTTAAACTTTCTTTGTTTTGTTTTTGAGAACTTTCTATTCAGGCTCCAGGCCCATTTTTGAAAGGGGTCACTCTTTTGGCCCTTTAATTTTTAAGTTCTTTGTATATTTTGAATATTAAATCTTTATCAAGTGTATAGCCAGCAAAGATTCTCTCCCATTCTGTGGGCTTTCCCTTCCTCTAGGTCATTGTTCTTTTTTTTTTTTAGTTTCATTAAGTCCTACTTGACAATTGTTGGCCTTAATTCTTGAGTCAATGGAGTCCTATTCAGGAAGTTTCTTCCTACACCTTAATCATACAGGGCACTGCCTCTGCTGTCTTTTAGCAGTTTCAGTATTTGAGGATTTAGGCTTAAGTCATTGATAGATTTTGAGTCAGTTTTTGTACAAGGTGATAAATACAGCTCTAATGCCATTCTCTTGCATGTAGGCATCCAGTTTTCCTAGCAACATTTGTTGGAGATTCTTTCCTTCCTCCAGCATAGGTTCTGGGCATTGTTGTCAAATATTAAGTGACTGGAGTTACATTTGTTTGGGTCTTTGATTTTGTTCATTTAGTAATGAATTGTTTAATCTCCATGAGTTTGTGTATTTACTAGAGACTTGGTTGGTGTCAATTTTAATTTTTTATGGTTAACTAGGATATAAAAATGATTCCAATATTTTTGAATTTGTAAAGATTCTTTTTATGTGTGTTCTAAGATGTCTATTTTAGAAAAGCTTTTGTGTGTTGCTGAGTAGTATGTGTGTTCTTTGGTATTTTGTGGAACATTTTGTAGATATCTGTTAAGTCCATTTGATCTATAATGTCATTTTTTTTGCCTTTAAAAATAGTTTTGACTTTTATTTTTCTCAAATATTGTATCCTGAATATAGTTTCCTCTTCCTCCTTTTTTCCCAGTCACCCATCCAGATCCACCCTTCCTCTGTTTTCCTTAAGAAAAGAGTACACCTTCTAGGGATATCAACCAAACATGACATAACAAGTTACAATAAGACCAGACATATCCCTTCATATTAAGGCAGGATGAGGCAATCTAGCAGGAGAAAAAGGGTCCCAAGGGCAGGCAAAAGAGTCAGAGACATTCCCAACTCCTACTTTTCGAAGTCTAATGAGAAGACCAAGTTACATAACTGTAATATAAATGCAGAGGACCTAGGTCAGATCCATACAGGTTCCCTGATTGTCACTTCAGTCTCTGTGAACCCCTATGAACCTAGGTTAGTTGATTTTGTGGGCCGGTTCTTGTAGTGTCCTTGAACTTCTGGCTCATAAATCCTTCCTCTCCCCTTTCCAGAGGATTCCCTGAGCTCTGCCTAATATTTAGCTGTGGATTTCTCCATTTGTTTCTATCAGCTGCTGGATGAAACCTCTCTGAGGACAGTTGTGCCAGGTGTTAGTCTACAAGTACAGAAAAGTATTGGTAGGAATCATTTCATTGACTTTTTTTTGCCAGTCATGTTTTTTTTTTCTTCTATTCTGGGTCTCTGGGCTATCCAGCTTCTGGTTCCTGGCACACTAGGCAGTGCCAGGTATGAACTTCCTCTTGCTGTATGGGTCTCAAGTTAGACCAGCTATGATGTCAACAGGGTCCAATACAATTTCCCACCCCTATTGACCATTGATCTCCTGCTGTCCACCTCAGAGGGGTACTGACAGGAAGGGTATGGAGTGCCGCTTTTGCCTCAGCAGAGAGAAGTGAACTGCATGGAGGCATGGGAGATGAGGACCCGAAGGCCTGTGTTGGTCAGGCCTGAAGGGTGTGAGTTGTGACTGGTGTGAGCTTCCTACTTGATTGAGGTCTCAGGGTGCTGACCGAGCCTCGGGTGTAGGTGAAACTCTGAGGTGTGGGCTCAGAGGAAAAAGGCTTCCCTAGCCTGGTGTGCAACTAGGCCTCAGTGAAGGCTATGGGCCCCTCACGGACCTCCACTGTCTGTGTACCTGTCATCTAAGCTTCATCATTCGCGTCTGTCCTTCCAGGTGGTCGCGATAGGTGTGCGGTCCTATGCAACTGACACCGCAGACCTTGCAGTAGTGCATGGAGGGTGGCCTGTGGTCCGCCTTGGTCTTCGGCAGCCTGTCCAGGAACTGCAGAGTGTCTATATCCCGCGGCCTGGTCTGCCCAAGTTGTCCAAGTCCGCCAGAGCCTTCGGACGCTTGCTGCTTCTGCGGCACCTGCTGGGACTTTGGTGGGTGGTCCAAGCAGTGGGAGCTTGGGCCTGCCCTGCAGAGTGAGGGTGTTAACTGGTCGCTCTGGTGTATCCTCACAGCTCCTGATTCCCTTTGACTCTTAGCAGCTGGTGTGTGGATGAAGCAGTGACCACAGCTTCATGTTGCTGCTGTCAGTGTATGCCTTTGGCTACCTGGACTGATCTTCAGTTGGGTGCTGCTGGCGCTTGGGCTTCTTGCCTGGTGCTGCTTGAGCCGTGGCTTTGAGGCTAGCTGCCTGTGTCATGTGCTGGTGTTGTTTGAGGACAAGGGGCGAGCTGTGCACCTGGGGGTACACGCCTGTAATCTGCCTGCCTGGGTTCATTTTCCAGACACCAAAAAGGTAGAATGGCTAAATAAGATGGCAAGGCACATGTGGCCCTTTATTTGTCAATTTATAGAAAAACTCGTTCAAGAAATCATAGAACTGGCTGTGTGCTGAACAAACGCCCACCTCAGCATTTTCATTTTTTCAAAAGTAAATGTGGGTCAGCAACCCCTTAGAGTCAATGATGTTAAGGTTTATACTGAAAATGTAAACAAAAGACAAATTATTCTGGCCCTTCAGATTAGTTTTTTTAACCTTTTCATGTTTTTATTTTAAAGGCACAGCTAGACCCCACCCTCAGTACAGCAATCCTCCTTCATGGGGAGACCAAGAGGACACACCAAAGCTAACTATATACACAGACACGCGTGGTGCTTCGGTCTTTTATCTCTTTCCTCTTTTTCTTTCTTTAAATCCCCTTTCTTAGAAGACAAGCTATAGAATACTAGGGCAAAAAAAAAATAAACCAAATTCAGAACCCTCATGTTTATTTGGGAAAGGGGAGGAAGGGAGGTTTGTGGGTGCCCACCCCCACTGCAGTCCCTAGTCTTCATGTCACTTCCTCTGTCCCCTCCTTGGTGGGCGAGGGAACTGGACTGGGTGAGTTGGGGGGGGGGTCTGGACCTAGCAAGTGTACAGTGTGGGGAAGCAGAGCCGGGGCACGGGGAGGACTCGGGGCGCACAGGGCGGAAAGGGGCAGCTAGAGTTGCATTGTGTACATTGTGGGCCACGACTGGTGGCGGTGACCCGGATAAATGTCGCAGGTGGGGGATTTCTTGCTGCCCTCTGTAACCTGGGGTGTCCATCTGAGGTCCCCTAGGTCCAGGGTGCAGGGCAAGACGGCTGGAACCTGGACTGGGGGTGGAAGCTTGGGCAGTGGCTGAGCTCTGTGTTGTGTGGCCCTAGGAACACTGCTCCCTCTCTGTGCCTGTCTCCCCTGTGTCCCCCCTCCCCCTCCCTCCTCCCCAGGAGCTAATCCGACTTCTCGCCGTCATCCTCCTGGTGGGTGTCCCCATCATGTCCATTCTTGTCCTCCTTAGAGAGGTGTGCCTGAGAGCCCAGAGCCGAAAGAGACAGCAGGCCGGTGCCCGCGCTGACTGCAGGGAGTGATGGCGGCTGGAGCCCCACGAGCAGCGGTGTCAGGGGCAGGGCCAGCGCCAGCAGCTGGGACAGCTGGTGAGCCTGGAGCTGCTGTCGGATGATGGAGTTCAGCTCAGGAACCGTGACCTGCTTGGCTCTCTCGATAGCTCCCAGAACCTGTTGCTGATGCTCCTGTGACAAACAGGGCAGAACCTGGGCGCAAATCCCATTCAGCCTCTTCACGATTTCAGCCTGTTTATGCATCTCCATGTTCAATCCATAGGACATCTCATAGTATATGACGTAATGCCGCTGCTGCATCTCTGATTTCTCGCTGGCCAGCTTGTCACACTCCAGCTTGAGGCTGTGGTACTGTGCTTGCAGCAACTGGAACTCATCTTTGATGCGGTCACAGGAGTCGGAGGTGGTGAACTTGAGCTGCTGGGGGAGGTGGTAGGAGCCTGAGTGCCGGCTTTGAGGAAACATCACGTCAGTTGCGGTGGGGGGGGGGGAGGCAGGCTGCCCCCCAGTTCCGGCGGCTGCGGGGGCGGGGCGCCGGGCGGCCGCACTTTGTCCCGCAGCTCCGGGGCCCCTTTGGATTAGTTTTGCAGAAAATTGTGAGATTGATTTGGAGATCAATTTTTTTGTGGAGCTGGTGTGAAAAGTATTCAGATTCGTGGGACAATGTGGACGATCCTGGAGCCCTTGACTGATGACATGCCTTTAGCTGGAACATTGTCCATCTTCTTCCTTAGGAAACCACTTTTAGGGATTAACTGGACAGGACTGACTAATCTCCTGGACATCCCTGGACTGAAAGGCTTATCAAATACTATCATTTTGGATACAACTGTCAATCATTTGCCAAAAAACAAGATCCTAGCTGGGCTCCCTACGCTTCCAATAAAGATATAGCCCCATGCAGTCCCCGCCTCCAGTCCATCCCTAGATACAGCCCCATGCAGTCCCCTCCTCCAGTCCATCCCTAGATACAGCCCCATGCAGTCCCCGCCTCCAGTCCATCCCTAGATACAGCTCCATGCAGTCCCTGCCTCCACTCCATCCCTAGATACAGCCCCATGCAGTCCCCTCCTCCACTCCATCCCTAGATACAGCCCCATGCAGCCCCCTCCTCCACTCCATCCCTAGATACAGCCCCATGCAGCCCCCTCCTCCACTCCATCCCTAGATACAGCCCCATGCAGTCCCCGCCTCCACTCCATCCCTAGATACAGCCCCATGCAGTCCCCTCCTCCACTCCATCCCTAGATACAGCCCCATGCAGTCCCCTCCTCCACTCCATCCCTAGATACAGCTCCATGCAGTCCCCCGCCTCCACTCCATCCCTAGATACAGCCCCATGCAGTCCCTGCCTCCACTTCCACCCCTCACATCACACTGGTCTTTTCTGATTCCAGTGAAAACTCAGGGGACTGAGTGCTGGTACCTGTCACATTAGATCCCACTACCTAAACATCTATATCTCTTTACTTCTCAGAAAAGTTGTAGTCCCAATTCAATTAAAAATTAAAGATAACTTTGGAGTTGGAATGTGGCTGTTTCCTTCTCTAAACACAAGCATGTTGTTGGAAGAAAAAATTCAGAGTTTCTGTCTCACATCAGAAGAGCCACCTGGTATAGGACAGAAGAAAACCAAAAATCAAGGAACTATTGTTGTCAAAACTCTGTTATCTCCCCAAAATTCTATTTCTCCCCTTACTTATTTTTGACTCTTTAGTACCTTTCTTTGGCTAAGCAGCTTAAGTATATATTGATAAACTGATAAATAAAATAAATAGATTGGTAGAAAAATAGAGATATATAGATGATAAATAGAAAATAGATGATAGAAAAATAGATCGATAGATACATAGATGATAGAGGATAGATAAGTGATAGACAGATGATAATAGATGTGACATATACTCAGTGGAATAGCATTACTTTTAAACATATTTATCTTACTTGTAATTATTTGTGAGTGTATGTATGTCTATTTTTTTCCTGTATGGCCCTGCCTATGCCTCTCAACAATTCAATGATTTTCTGGGGACCTGAAGGATTTTCTGCACTACTGTCATCCTCTACAACCCACAGAGACAAGGCATTGTGGAAAGAACCAACAGTCCTCTTAAGGAGCTGTTGGCCAGGACTGTCTTGCCAGAGGCTAGGAGAGATCCTCATCTGGCCTTAACAGAGGTTCTTTTACATATGACTTTCTCAGTTTTGATGACAAGGGGCTCAGCCCAGTTTACAAGCACTGGGCATCTTTGCCCCGGTGATATGCAGAGATCCTATCTCCCTCCAGTGGCAGCCTCCAGCACCCTGCTAACCCTTGGGAGAGGGTATGCTTGTGTTTTTTCTCAGAATGCCACAACACCAATATGGGTCCCAGTAAGAGATGTACATTTAGCCATGGATCAGGCTGCTTCCACCAAGGAGGGAATAAACCAGGATGGGCAATGTACATACTCCCCTTTCTTGCTCTCATTACTCATCCCCAACAAATTGGTTTATTAAGAGCAGAGGTTATGGCCTTTGATGATTCATTTAAAAAAAGTTTGGCATAATATAAAAAAGGATATTGATCCTCCTGGATGTTCATGTATGTATTAATTGGTGGTGTTTTTTTTTTTTTAACTCTTATTCTCCTTAAATGCCTCATGCAGTAAATCCAACACCAGTAGACAGTAACTAAGGTGACTCCAGGTGTTAATGGCTTTTAGGCATCCTTCTGGCAGTCCTCCACAGGAGCTTATGCATGCCTAGTTATTTGTAATTCAAAATGCTATTATTATCTAGTACCCCACACCTTGGCAGTTCTCCAGGAATGAATGCTCTTGGAGGGCTGGTGGTCAGAGGTGGGCATGAGCTTATTTGGCAGGCCAACGTAAGACAGACACAGTCAAGTTGCTGAGCCTCCCTGAGGTGGGGTCAACAAGGTCTAAACAAAGAACTCTGGCTCCCACAGAACATCCTATGTAATAAAGAAAAAGGGTGGATATGTAGGAAGATAAGGCCTACTGGACCAAAAGGAGGCAACCTAGAGTCTGCCTGGAGGTGTCAAAGATCCTGTCTGTGCCTAGCCAATAAGGAGTTACCAAACAGTGTTTCCTGAGTGCCTAGTGACAGGTGCTGTCAGAGGTCCTGATGGTGCCTAGCCAATGAGAGATAAGCATGAGATGTCAGCTATCAATTGTCTCCCAGCCTGGGTATATAAGTGTTTTCACACTGTTAAATAAATGAGCCTGCAGCAAGTCTTCTGCCTGATTCCTGGCATCTATGTTCATTGGTGTTGCACTTTTTCACCCTCTTCCCCCAAGGAAGATGTTAGAACCCAGCAATAGTACAGTATTGTTTTGGCTATCCTGGGTTTTTTGTTCTTCCATATGAAGTTGAGTATTGTTTTTTCAAGGTCTATGAAGAATTGTGTTGGGATTTTGATGGGGGAGTGCATTGAATCTATAGATTGCTTTTGGTAAGATTGCCATTTTTATCATGCTGATCCCACCTATGCAAAAGCATAGGAGAACTTTCCATTTTCTGGTACCTTCTTCAATTTCTTTTTTCAAAGACTTAAATTTCTTGTAATACAGGTCTTTCACTTCTTTAGTTAGTGTTACTCGAAGATATGTTATGTTATTTGTGGCTATTGTTAAAGGCGCTGCTTCTCTGATTTCATTCTCGGGTTCTTTATCATTTGTATATAGGAGGGTTACTGATTTTTTGAGTTGATCTTGTATCCTGCTGTATTACTGAGGGTACTTATCAGTTGTAGGAGTTCTCTGGTAGAGTTTTTGGGGTCATTTATGTATGCTATCATATCATCTGCAGATACTGAAAGTTTTACTTCTTCCCTTTCAATTTGTATCCCCTTGATCTTCTTTTGTTGTCTTATTGCCCTAGCTAGAACTTCAGAACTATGTTGAATAGATATGGAGAGAGTGGACAGCCTTGTCTTGTTCCTGATTTTAGTGGAATTGCTTTGAGTTTCTCTCCATTTAATTTGATGTTGGCTGTGAACTTGCTGTATATTGCTTTTATTATGTATAAATACATTCTTTGTATCCCCAATCTCTCCAAGACCTTTATCATGAAGGAGTGTTGGATTTCGGTGAATGCTTTTTCAGCATCTAGTGAGATGATTGTATGTTTTTTCTTTCAGTTTATTTATATGAGTTACAATGATAGATTTTTACATGTTGAACCATCCCTGCATCTCTGGAATGAAGCTGACTTGATCATGGAGGATGATTTTTTTTGATATATTCTTAGATTCGGTTTGCCAGTATTTTATTGAGTATTTTTGCATCAATGTTCATGAGGGAGATTGGTCTGTAATTCTCTTTCTTGGTGGAGTCTTTGTGTACTTTCAGTATCAGCATAACCTCAGACTCATAAAAAGAGTTTGGCAATGTTCCTTCTGTTTCTATTATGTGGAACAATTTGTAGAATATAGGTATTAGCTCTTCTTTGAAGTTTTGGTAGAATTCTTTACTGAAACCTGATGTGGGAAGTGATGTATGCTGTGAATATGTTTTGTTGCCATTGGTTAATAAAGAAGCTGCTTTTAGTCAATGACTTATGGAAAAAAACCAGGCAGGAAATAGAAACAGAGATGTAGAGAGAGTAGGCAGAGTCAAGGAGAAACCATGTAGCCATTGAAGGAGAAAGATGTTTGTGGGAGCCTACTGGTACCTTGCTGGTGTGCCCCGACCTTGTGGTGATGCACAGATTAATAGAGATGGGTTAAGATATAAGAGCTAGTTAGCAATACACTTAAGTGATTGGCCAAGTGGTGTTGCAATTAATATAGTTTCTGTGTGATCATTTAGGGTCTGGGTGCCTGGGAAATGAGCAATCAGCCTCTGACTACAGAATGGCGCCCAAACAACTAGGGCTAGCTGCATGGCAAACCACACACTTTAGGTTTGGGTACTTGTATACCTGCTTGGGGTTAGGAGGAAAACAGCATGGCTTAGTATTCCCTGCCTGGTCAGGTTGTGGGATCAGGTTTGCTAGGAGTGCACAGGCAGGAGAGCAAGGCACCCCACCCCGCCACACACAGAGATATTTTCAGGCAATACAAAATGCTACATGGCTGATTTAGCTTTTACTCAGATAAAGTGTTTATATGCTACACAGTGCCACCCAGAGTTGAGGTGGTGAGGACAGCTCCTACCTGGCAGTCTCAGAGCTGATGATGAACTACCTCTGATATATTAAAAGCCTGAGGCAGGCAGAATCAGCATCTAGGGTCACTGTGACCAAGCTGATTATCATTTTAAAAGTGTTCCTGGTCAGAAAATTATTACAGATACACAATAAAGGCGGATTCAGATGAAAAAGACCCCTTAATGGGTCACAGTGTTGGATAAATGTACATAGGCTTGGGAGAGAGAAGAGAAATAATATAGACAGATGTAAAGCAAGTAAATGGTTTAAAAAATAAAACAAAGTCTTTAAAGAGACAGAGTACAGATAGT